CGTATACACTGTCTGATTTTAAAATTAGGAAATCATATCTACACCTCCAACATTTTATTATTTTAACCTGATGAAAATATTCAGCATTGTTCCTTCTGCCTCTTGAAATTCACAGTCCATTTTCAGTATCTGCCGTCACCCCGCGATGCAACAGAACCCCAGAATTTCTGTTGGCAGACCGACTATAACTCCATCCCTGCTTTTCCTCCCTTCCTCACCCCACCACCCCTAAATTCTCCCCAGAATCTGCCACTCATCCTTCCACTCTGAGCTTCCAAGACAAACTCACTTTCTTTGATTCTATACAGAACATCACACAATATTTGTGTTTCCGTGGTTGGCTTACTACACTTAGCATGATATCCTGTCATTCCATTAATGTTATTGAAGATGATGGGGCTTCTATTCCTTATGGCTGGAGAGGACTTCCTTGTGCGTATTAACCACATTTTCTTATCCCCCCTCAGTGGATGGGTTGTGTCCGTTGCTTGTGAATAGTACCACAATAAATATAAGAGTGTCAATATTTCTTGGACAGACTGATGGCATTTTCTTTGGAAATATACCCAGAAGGGAGATGACAGGTGTAACATATGATAGCACTACTGAGAATTTCTTGATAGTTTTTCCATAATATCAGTCCAGGGGCATACTAATATGCATTGTAACACACATGCTCACCAACATCACAGAGAAACAAGAGGGTTAACCCATACACAGGACCAAATAGCTCCAACAGGTATCTCCAGAATGTTCCACTGGAGCCCCCAAACACATAGTGTTTTCATCGGCACATGGGACATTCCTCAAGTGAGATCATGTGAAACACCCCAGAGTAATTCTTCAGTTTCTCTGTGATAGGCCAACAGTGTATTTATTTTAAATTTCATGAGCTCATGGCTCTCCAGGACCCTGGTAGTATTAAAACAGCCACGGATATATGAAAATAAATACCTGCATTTCAATAAAAATTCATTCATAGGCATTGAATTTTAAGGATTTTATGATTTCCACTGTTTGCTGAACACCTTCCCAGCTTTTTCTATAATGCATTAACCATTCTGAGCCTAGATATTACATAAAAAAATGCAAAGGCTAGACTTAGTCCACAAGTTATATGCTGCTATGTTCTCCATTCCTTTCTTTCTTCTATCCTTCTTCCTTTTTCTTTCTTTTTTTTTTTTCATTTGTTGACTTTTTTTTGGCCCATTTTGCTTGGTGTCTGGTGGTACCCAAAATATAAAAGGAGACAGTCTCCATACCACTGGAAAACACTTAGGATTCACGTATCTTAAACTCGGCCAGAACTGTGTGCAATAACAGCCGTGGGATGATGGTGACAAAAGTCAAACATTAAACATCTCTAAGTATCATGGAGATACCTGGGAGCTTGAGTTAAATACAGATAACAAAGTCTCATCTTTAAATCTCAGGGTGGGGCCTGAGAAAGTGTGTTTCTAACGAGTTCTACATGACCCGGATTTTATCTTTCTGAGAAACACCCCTGGAGACAGACAAGGATAAAGCTTCTTTCATTCCACATCGGGTAGGGGTGTAAGACGATGCTCACTCAAAATCATCCACGGTATACAAGCAGATTCTCTACATGAGATTCTGCTGGCACTGTCATAACTAGTCAGACAATGTCCCAATAGGTCTTCTCTGACAACAAACGTTTCCGTTGGATTTGTCTAGATTTCCCATGATGGGTCAGAAAGGAAATCATGAGAAAAACACTCTGCAGGGGGCAGTCATGAGCATATCATTATTAATCCAAAGGCCACGAAGGGCTCTCTGGCATGGGGGTGGGGGGGAATTGGCAATACCCAGGGTGATTACAGACACAAAGATGCCCAAGCTGAGCCATCCTGGGGGACTGTGGCCTGGGTCGCTCCCAAGAGCCATTGCAGACAAAAAGCTATTTCATTCATTTCTGCCTACAAGTTCTGCAGGAAGAACTTCAGTTGAAAGAAACCTCACCAGCAATCCAGGAACTAAATGGGAAGAAGTATATTCGTGTAGACATGAATAACACACTGGTTGTTAGCGCCTAGGGCCCACTGAAGCCACCGCCTTTGTCCTCCAGTGCATCTGACAGGACCATGTGATCTAGAGGGTCTGAGTCCACTCAGCAAGATGCTGATGGTGCAGAGGCTCGGCCTGTGAGGGGTGGGGACCCTCAAGAGACTCCTGTGGCTTTGTAAGCAAGCATTGGTGAGGATTCAAAACGCATGCTTCAATATTATTTCTGAAAATGACACGTGTGTTCAAATACCAACATACAAAGTGTACAGAAAGATGCCAGAAGTCTATGTGTCAAGAAAAACCAAAGCATTCGTGCAAAACTATGGATTTTTTTTTCACTGAGTAAATATGACTGCACAGTTGCTTGAAAAATCCATCCATGACATCTACATATTTTATGTAGATTTTCATGAAAAAATATAAAAGTCTGGATTGGGACATCAAAGCCTACCTCTACCGCTGACTTCAAAGGAAAGAAAAGCGAACAGTCATCATTCTGGGGTAATATGAATATCAGGGAGAGGTGTGACTCTACATTTCAACTTAGCTTGAGGAAGAAATTTGCTTTTCTGCCAAATGCGAACTTGGCATCGAATGTTCTGAGTTGAGGTCCCAGAGCAAATGTGAGTCAACTATACAGACTATATATATATATGACCACAGGTTATAAGCAAATGAGGATGAACATTTGCAGGTGCTTATGAATTCATTTCACGGCATGGGTTAGAATGGACATTGTTACGGTTTTTAATTCATTCTGCCAAATATTTCTACCAGATGCTGTGATATTCCTTGATGAAGAACCTTGAGAGCAATGTGTGGTCATGAACACGGTTGTGGAGGCACCGACTGAAGTTCTGGGTAGAAGAGGAAGAGGATAAACTGTGTTTGAAACATCAGTGGCTTCTAGGATATCCAACTCCACAGTATAAACGTAGACGTTGTGTTTGGGAAAAGACAAGGGCTAATGGCACCCACGTTTGGCTTGTTTGCACAGAACAGATAACTAAAGGCAAAGGAGTGAAGGAGATGGCTGAAGACTATCTGAACAAAGAGGACGGTGGACAGAACCTTGGGGACTCTCTGTGCTCCCTAACCAGGGAAAGGCTACGGTTAGGGGAGGGGGGATGAGGTGACACACGTCTGATACAACAGGCAAGAGGGGAGTCTGCAGTCCCAGATGCCAGCACGAGGAGATGGGCAGCTCTGAGGGAAACAGACTAGATGGTCCTTGTCATCAGAAAATATGCAGGACTCTGCAGAAAGTGCGATGCGCGCGCAGGTAGCAACAAGGGCAGATGTGCACGTGGTTTCACACTCAGGCATAAGGGGTGTTAAAAAAATACCAGTGCAGGCAAAAGGGAATAAACAGAGAATAACAACAACGGGCATACAATTTGCAAGAAAGGTCATGAAGGTTATAGGCTAGATCAAACACTGAGAGCAAAAGGAGGAAGGGTTGAGTCTGGGAAAAAAGGAAGAATTTTAGTATGGATATCGGGGGTCAGGGGGAAGGAACACTCAGCTACACGTATGTGTGGGAATGGATGCTTTCCGAATCATCTCAGAAACTTCTCGATCTGTGATGCATTGGAGCTGAAACTCTCTGGGAGAGATTTAGATCTGACGTTTTGACGTTTGAAAATACCAGTGAGTGAGAATGTTATCGTAACAGCCAACCCTGGAAATTAAATGTAGCCAAGAAAAACTCACATGTTAAAATGGCTGGATGCGAAGTGCAATTGAATGCGTATTCCACCACCGAATCCCATGGCAATGTTCATAGACTTACTTTCTAAACGAACAGAGGAACAATCTACCGGCGTGGAGTAATTCTGGTGTGAGTAGAAGACAAATGGAAAAAGTTCATCCTATCTACATGGCAGCCAGGGATGCCCAAGGTGGACTTGAGAGCTTTTATTGCCAAAGTTCAGTGTATAGCAGACTTTTTCCGGGCTAGCAACAGTTCAGTGACAAGATCTCACCCGTATCGCGCTAGGCACGGGATCTGAACTTTTATGTTTCTACCAAGTTTGTAGTGACACAGAACTCACTGGCCCAAGAAGCACACTTCGAAGACATTTTGCTTCGGGGCCTTCGGGACCAGTTGATATGTACCAAGTAGCTCTACGCACGTCAGCACTTTCGAGTTTTTTGATAAAATGAATTGACAAACTGGAATTTGATGCTTGATATTTTCAAGAAGCCTATCCAGATTTAAGCTAAGTCCACTTCCAAATGTCACATAAAATGCAGTGTTTATTATGCTAATTTCCCTGAGCAGGTGCATTTGTGTATTTCATACGATATCATGAAATCAGTTTCACGTGAGAGCTAAACTCACCACTTAACATTTCTGTCCATCCTTAAGTCAGCTCGCTCTTCCTAAATCTCACCAACATTTGTGCCAGAAACTCTTCCACATTCTTCGCCCGTGTGAACCCATTACATCTCCTCTGTTGTATTCCATTAGCCTCATCTTGCAGATGGCGAAAGTGAGGCATCGGAAAAGAAATATCGAATTCGGGACCAGAGGTAAACATCGGGAGCTGACGCTGCAGCACAGCCGGTCAAGTCCCTGTTCGATGCGTCTCCCGTTGGAACGTTCTGGCTATTCCACTTCCAACACAACTCCCTGTGTACAGCAGCAGCGGGTGGGCCAAGGACTTATATTGCAGCCCTTCCGCATCCCTTCATGGGCGTTGCGGATAGAGTGTCTGGCTGCTAGCTTCAGTCTGACCCAATCCCAGCAATGTGTGAGCGTCTGGCGAGTGAAGTTGTGTCTGTGAAGACAAGGTGTGTGTGTGTGTGTGTGTGTGTGTGTGTGTGTGTGAGACTGCCTCTCAAATGACCGCATAAACAAGAAGCGATCATTCAGCCAAGCACGGCCTTTCCCATCCCCTGTCTTAGGGTTGCATCACAGTGCGGTCTCTGTCACCTTCAGGTAGGGCTGGCTGCAGGGGACACACACTCACCCGTCCCGAGGAACAGCACGCGGTAGCGGCCGTCGGCCGCATTCACCTGGTCCACGGCGATCTTGGTGTACTTGTAGTCGGTGCCGGTGCGGACGATCAGAGGCCGTCGGTGAATGGGGTAGACGGAGTTGTACATGAGCGGGTGGTTCCGGATAAACGTGACCACGTCATCGGGAAACTCCTTGGTGGTTCGGATGTTAGGAGTAAACGCTCCTCCGGGGCACTGAAAGGTTTTGGAAAGCAAAAAAAAAATGCAAACAGTTAGTAAATCATGACCTCTTGCTAGAAAGAATGAAAAGGCCTTTACTTTTCAAAACACGGAAACTCCAGTTGCTTTGGTACCCATGGTACCAAACTTCCTGCTTATCTGTACACTATTATAAAAAATTAACACAGGACGTGTATGATTTGATCATTTAGAGGAGACCAAGTTCGTTCTTCCTGTCCTATTTGGGTCTAGAGAAAATCACGGCCATTGTGAATATTTTATTTACAGTCGAAGCTTATACTATCAGAAAACACACACACACACACACACACACACACACACACGCACATATTGTGGCCATAAGCCTCCACTTCTACCATTTAACATAATCACGCTCTCATGATAAAATTCCACTCTCCTGCACAGTTTTATTCTCTAGCTTGTCTCCCCTCCCAAATGAAACATCTCAGAAGGTGCAGCTTAGATGGGAGAGGGCAAGTCCGCTGGAATGATCTGATTCTGGAAAAGTCTCTGTGATGTGTGTTACCCTCAGGATAAAATCCCCAGAAGCTGCTGTGTCATCTGGCCTGAGCTGTCGCTCTCAGCGTTATCCTGTCTTGTCTTTTGCTTCCAGCATGTTCTGTTCTGAAATACTGGCTCCTGCTACTGCCATCCATGGGCCCTTCCGGAACTCGTCCCCCATGGTTTGGTCTGAGTCTTCCTTCAGTCCTGAGCACCCATGGGCCCTCCTGAGGGCAGTACTGCGCTAAATGAGTGAATGCTGCTACGGCAACACTGATGGTTCAATTCCCAGCTCCTCCACTTTTTTTTTTTTTAAGATTGTATTTATTTGTATTGCAAAGGCAGATATACAAAGAGGAGGAGAGACAGAGAGGAAGATCTTGCATCTGATGATTCACTCCCTAAGTGGCTGCATGGCTAGAGCTGTGCCAATCCGAAACCAGGAGCCTCTTCCGGGTCTCCCACACAGGTGCAGGGTCCCAAGGCCTTGGGCCGTCCTGGACTGCTTTCCCAGGCCACAGGCGGGGAGCTAGATGGGAAGTGGAGCTGCCAGGATTAGAACCAGTGCCCATATGGGATCCCAGCGTGTTCAAGGTGAGAACTTCAGCCACTAGGAATGCTGGGTCCCCTGCTCCTCTGCTTCTGATACAGTTTCCTGCTAAGGCATCTAAGAAAGCCAGACATAATGGCCCAAGTGCTTGAGCCCCTGTCACTCACATCACACTGAGATGGAGTTTCAGCCTCTTGGTTTTGGTCTGGCCCAGCCCTGGCCATTGGGATTATGCAGGGCGTCTATTGTGGCAGCCCCTCTTCCCATCCAGCTCCCTACCTGTGGGAGCAGTCAGGGACATTCCAAAGCCTTAGGACCCTGCATCCAGGTGGGAGACCTGGAAGAGGCTCCAGGCTCCTGGTTTCAGAGAGGCTCAGCTCTGGCTGCTGCCGCCTCTTGGGAACTGAACCATCATATGGAAGCTGTTCCTCTCTCTGTCTCTCCTCCTCTCTGTATATCTGACTTTCCAATACAAATAATCAATAAATCTTTTTTTTTTTTTTAAAGAAAAGTTCAGCATTATAGCTCAGTGGATTTAGCCATCACCTGTAACATCAGTATTCTGAAAAGGTACCAGTTTATGTCTGGCTGCTCTACTGCTAACACTGCTAATGGGCTGGGGAAAGTAGCAGAGGGTGGCCCAAAGTGTTTGGGCCACATGAAAGACCCAGAGGAAGCTCCTGGCTCCTGGCTTTGGCCTCAGCCATCTCTGCCTGTCGCCGTCATTTGGGGAGTGAACCAACTCAATGCAAATTTCCCCAACTCTGTAACTCTGATGTTCAATGTACTCAGATGTAAGTTGCAAAATAAATAAACAAAGCATTATCAGCTAAAAGAAAAGGACCAACGTAAACCTTCTAATCCAGCAATGGCAGATACACACTGGTTCTGTGGACACTAGGTTGCAACGAGAATGGTAACTCACCCGGAAGTGAAATCTCATTCCAATGGGATCACTTCCTGATCCTGTCTACCCACGACTGCCCGCCTATCACTGCATCTACTAATCGCTCATGGCCCGTGAACAGCCTTAGCTGCCAATCCACGATGGCCCCTGCCCCCTGTGTGTGTTCTTTCTCTCTCTCTCTCTCTCTTGTTCCTTTCCCTCCTCCTCCAACCCCCCCTCCTCCTTCCTTTCTCTCTTCCTTTCTGTCACTCCTTCCTTCTCTCTCCTTTCCTGGCTCCCTCCCTTGGGACCCCCTCATGGCACTATACCAGGAGACCTCTCTCTCTCTGTCTTTGCCCAAGTCCTGGTGGCCATCCTCCCTGCTGGATTGAAACCTCCTGCGTGGCCAGCTGCATCCAAATTTGGGGTTTGTGGCAGACAAAATGGAGAGCGCGAATACCGAGAAGAGCTAACACCACTAACATGACATCATTCCACATCCTGGCGAGGGCACTTTCAGGCTAAGTTTGACCCATGAAAATGTGCTAGAACTTTTTGTAACAGCAGAGAATAGAGTTGTCTTATTCCACAGGGGCGTAAGAAGTAGTCCAAAGACTTAACAAAGAGAGGTAATGAAACAGTTATTCTGCTAGTCTTACTTGTTTTTTGTTATAGTATTAAATACATCATCTGGGGATGATACATAAAATATATCATTTGGGGATGGTGTATAAAATATATCATTTGGGGATGCTGTATAAAATATATCATTTGGGGATGCTGTATAAAATATATCATTTGGGAATGATAGTATTTTTCTCTTAAGAAGACGTATTATCCTTAAATATACATGTTAACTTTCCGCAGGAAAGACCCGAATGAGGACAAAGAATTGAACTGGAGGTTGTCCCACACTTGTGTGTGGTGTGGAATCATGGGTGTTTTCCCCCCAAAGTCTTCACACAAAAAGGAAAAAAGGGAAACCCATTGCTCACTGAATGAAAACATGGAAAGAACAATGCATGGGCGACTGAAATAGTTCCAGTTCTTTAAAAAAAAAAAAACACCACAAATTACGGCCTGCAAGGCTGAGATGTTTTCTTAAATATGTGCAAACACTCTCATTTTCAAGTTCTGGACAGACCCACAGTTAGCATATATTTCAAGGCCACTTTTGTCATTTCCAGTCTAGCATGGGATAAGCTGATTAAATTATCAGTGCCTCGGGTGTACATTTCATTTCCAGGATAACTGGAATTCAGATTTAAAATTATCATAAAGCTGCTCAAAAACATGGTTATTAACTAAGTAAATCAGATAAAATCAGTGAGTTTACACCCATCCCACTGCTCCCAAGTAAAGAACTCTATGTTCACAACGAATATTTTTGTTCAGAAACAAGGGTCTTCTCATATAATTCTGTTGATAACGATGATTGATCTATTAATTCATGTCGCAGAGCCTTCAGGTAAGGCAGAATGAACAGCGACAAAGACGACAATAACCACAGAGAAAGACACCCTTTTAAGCTATTTGCACTGGTAGGTTTACTCAATCTAACAACCCTGAGTTAAAAAGATGGGATTAACTTCTCCCCTCTCTTGAACTATAGCAGCGAGTGTGTACTGAGCCGTCAAGATAATGAAATATGCACATGCTATCATAAAAATAAAAGATTCAGTCCACTAATTGGGCTAGCTAAATTTACTCCACAAACAGTCGTTAAATAATTCCGGTTAAGCATCTCCTTGAATTGCTTGCTTTTCTGCCGCTCCTGCTTAGTGAGCAGCGATAAGCAGTCCTTCTTGAGCGAAGACACTTTAAGCATTGTGATTAAGCAAGGTGTTGGTGAAACACCAGGAACTGGAGTGCCATGTTAAAGAAGGGTTATCATTCGGATTCCAGTGTGCGGAGCCCCTTAAAGGCCAAGGAAGCATGACTAGTTTCCCAAAGCCTTATGTTAATGGTTAATGGGTTATTGTTAATGGCTAATGCATTAGGGCTGAAGCCTTGATCCGATTCGGATGTCTGAAGCGAAGGCCTTGGAAAAGCAAGTAAATTGGATTGGATCCGGTTGCTAGGGAGCTGACCATGAGCTCATGATTCAGTTCTGCCGGCTTTGTGAAGAGATACACAGGGACCTGGAAGATGGGCAACGTTGACTTTTTCTTTCTGATTTCTAATTCACTCCTTCTGCCATCCTGTGGCCTGCCTAGATGCCTACGCCGATGTGGCCATTGGACCCAAGTCAATATGCCCCTTTCCCAAGAAGTGCCTCTCATTTATGGGAATGGAGAAGTGACTAATACAGGGAGTGTTAGCACCTGCCGTCCCTCCCTAACTTCTCCTTTACACCCAGCTACTCATAAACATGTACCATTTCTGATTCTCGGAAATGTTGCTAATCCTCATATTATACAATTCCTCAAAAGGAGCATGCTAATGTGAGTCCTCTGGGAAATCATTTCAATGTGCCCATGGGATCCCAAGAACCAGAAAGTCCTTTTTCTACCCAAGTGCTCCAAGTAGGAAGATGAGCACACTCAGAACTCAATTGCATTGGAAGTCTTCAAGTTCTAATTCCCCCAAAAAGGCATTTGAGATCTGTGGTCATAAATGCATAGAGTAGGGCCCGGCGGCGTGGCCTAGTGGCTAAAGTCCTCACCTTGAACACGCCAGGATTCCATATGGGCACCGGTTCTAATCCCGACAGCTCCACTTCCCATCCATCTCCCTGCCTGTGGCCTGGGAAAGCAGTCGAGGATGGCCCAAAGCCTTGGGACCCTGCACCTGTGTGGGATACCCAGAAGCAGTTCCTGGCTCCTGGCTTTGGACTGGCATAGCATCGGCCATTGCACTCACTTGGGGAGTAAATCATCGGACGGAAGATCTTCCTCTCTGTCTCTCCTCCTCTCTGTATATTCTGCCTTTGCAATAAAAGTAAATAAATCTTAAAAAAATGCATAGAGTGCAAATAACACAATATATTTCAGCAAGATCATCATTTTGGAGTTTGATGATGGTTTACAGCCTTGGTCTATACTTTCCAACAGTGGGGCTTTTTCCTACTTACTTCCGTTTAATTCTTTACCTAATGGAGCATCAAACTTGTGATTATGAAGCTAACTGCAAACAGGTCATTGTAAAACTTTTTTATAGAAAGAAGGAAGGAAGGCGAAAGGGGAGTGTGGGCCGCAGGTAGGATCTGTTTTATGAGATGCATGAAATTTGTTCACTTTATGCCAAGAAAATAATTTGAAGTCTAAAAAAAATAAAGCATGACATTAAGACATGTAACAACGATTTGAAGCAAATATGAAATAATTAACAGAGCTTGGGTTGGGGCCAACTGTCACAGAGATTGAAAAGCCAGCACATTTAAACAAACCAAGAGCACTAGAGAAGGGCTGCCAAGATGCTCAAAGAAGCTTAGAGATGTTGAAAAGAAAAAGCTGGGCTTCTGCAGGGAGCTGTGATTGCTGGGGGCATCACGGGGTCACACAAGCTAATGTGAAGGAAGCAATGGGAGATGACACGGAAGACAGCGAGCAGGAAGTGACCCGAAAACCTTTCATAGAGTGACTAGCACAGGTCAAGGGGGTCTTGACCTGACACTGGAAAGATGAGTGCTTAGTGGATAAAAGGAGACACCCAGTGACCTTCCAGAATCTGGGCTAGGATTCGTGGCTGACAGAAGCCAATTTTACCTTTCGGCCCTTGGTGATCTGGGCCTTTTGATTGAAGGCCAGTTAATCAGACAGTGGGAGCCGTGGATTGCGATAGGGCTGCTATTCATCTTCCCCATATTGGCCCTTTTCTACCTGGAAAAGCTCTCGGCTCCAGTCGCGCTAGCCACGCACACACTCCGATGCATTCATTTCTACTGGCACCTTGTCATGGAAGCTGGACCCTCTGTCCACAAATCCTTCCAAATCAGTCCCTACCCGATTTATGCAAATCGCCTTGCCAGGCAAGCATCATCTCTACAATTGTAATGTGCCTTTTTTTGCACAAGATTGGCCCGCTACAAGCTCTTTTTCCTCTAAAGTCATATTTATGTTTACAAGTTTATTCATATGTTTACGTGATGGACAGAAAGTGATGTGTAATTAACATTGCCTGCATACGGGCCTTCGATGTTGTGTTTTATCATGAATCTCCCCAACTAAACACACTCCAGCATCTAAGAGATGTGCTTCAAGTTTCAATCAGAAGATACAGAAGCAATCAAAATGCCAGCAAGAAAAATACCTCCGATTATCTGTGTTGTAATCAACCGTGCTGATTATTCATTTTACTGAGGCTTGGCCTGGTTAAAGGAGACAGCTCAGCCTCACTCACTTCCAAATGGTCAAGCTGAAGGTTTTTAGCAGGTTCAGTCTGAACAGACTACCCCGCACACTATCTCCTGCATACACCATACAGCCAATTGTCAGAGAATGGACCACAAGAGCTGAGCCACGGAGACAATGTGCAGACGCTGGCTGCCCTTTGCAACATACCAAAGGTGTCTTGTTTCGTCCACAAACTTGAATCACTTATGGAAAAACATTATGACACAATTGGCAGGCTTCCCCCTACTGATTCCATCTTGCCGCTCGGGCTGTTTGCTCACACAGCTATGGAGCCTGCCTTTAAGAGCAGCACCCACGGGAGCACCAGAATGAGGTTATAGGATTTCTGCCAGTGGCATGCTTTGGAAAACACGGTTCCCTATTTATGGGGTTGACCTGGCAACCTGACTACTGTCTGGAGAAGTGAGGCCCAGCGGTCAGAGCTGATCCTTGTCCTGGGAGGACTTTGAAGGCTGGCAGCGAGGACTGCCTGGGGTCACTTGGCAGCAGGTGCGCTGGCTGCAAACGAGTAGGCTGTTAAGCTCTGCATGAGACAGGGGCCGGCCACTCCGGATTAAAGAGCTGACTCCACTTGGGGTTGGCGCGGTGCACGGCTGAGGCAGCGAGTCTTCAGGAAGGTATGCCTTTCCAGGACGAGTTCCAGAAGCCAGTCCTCCACCCTGCCCCCTCCCAATCCCCAAGGGATCATTCATCTGACAAGGTTTTTGATTTAAAGAAGCTGTTTTGGTCTCGGCACAGCTGGAAGAAACCACATTATAGAAAACACGCCTCAAGCCCCGACTACTCCCTTTTTGCCATGGTGTCTTTTCCAGATGTGTTGCTAAGCCCTGGCTGAATCTATACTGTTTTAGAACAGAAAAACAAAAAAAAAAAACCTCTTATTCTTGAGAACTAAAACAGAAATAGTGACAGTCAGGATTGTTCATTTTAAAAAAATAGTTATTTGAAAGGCACAGAGAGAGAGATATCTTCCATCCACTGGTTCAATCCCTCTCAAATGCCACACAGCCAGGGCCGATTCGAGCCAAAACCAGCATCCCGGATGATGATCTGGGTATCCCGGCTGGCTGGCAATCCCCAAGTCCTTGACTCATTAACTGCTGGTTCCCAGAGTGAGCAGGGGGCTGGAATAGAGAGCGGAACTGAAACCCAGGAGCTCCAATATGGGACACAGCATCCCAAGCAACAGCTTAGCCCCTGCCCCAAAGCGCCACGCTGAGCCGTTCCTTCTTAACACTTATCGAGAACACAACTCTTGCACGTGTTTGTAGCATACACCGAAACACTCGCACTCACAAGCAGAGTGATCGGAGTGGCATCAGACAACCAGCACTTCCATCTCCTTATCTATTCTTTAGGTCTGCTCCTTTAAAAAAAAAAAACAAAACAAAAAAACATATTTCTTTTCCTATCTGAAAGAGGAGGAGAGACAGAGAAGAAGATCTTCCATTTACTGATTCACTCCCCGAGCAGCTGCAATGGCCAGTGCTGCGCCAGGAGCCAGGAGCCTTTTCCGGGTCTCCCACAGGAGTAGAAGATTGCAAGGCCGTCCTCTTCTGCTTTCCCAAGCCACAGCATGGGGCTGGATGGAAAGTGGGGCCACTGGGAAACCTACCGGCACTTTTTCACGGCTAAGTGACAATTCTCCAAATTGGTCCAGTTAATGGTTCAACATAAAATATGCATCAAATGACATCAAAGCGTCAAAGGAAAGACGGCTTAATTTGGAATCGTTTGGCCTGGTAATTAAAACACCAATCAAAATGGTCAAGGGCATGAGACAGGCGCCTGGTCCAGCATCAAGCATTATGGGCATTCCAGGACTAGCCGATGGAAGCCTTCCCCCTAGCTACCTGTCAGTGTGTTTCACTCAGTCTATCTCTCTACCTCTCAAAAAAAAATGAGAAGAAGCAGCTTTTCAAGTTATTGTTTCCATTAAAAAATAAACTGACAGTGTAATTGTAAGACAATGAGGAAATAGGAGTGAAGGAGTGTAAGCAGACATTGAAAATAAATTCCTTTAACACAGAGAAAAGAAGAATCCAGAAACAGGGAGAATTCCAGGAGAGGAAGACCTGAAAGAATCCTGGCAAAAGAAATTTCAAACTCAGGAACAAAGACAAAAATAAACACATCATTAAAGTAAATATGATAATCACTACCCTTAGACTTAGATTTTTATGACGTAGTTCTTTTCTCTTTACTCGCATCAGCCACACGATAATGATAAACAGCCCTGTTCTATGAAATGCAGTAATGGCAAAAGATTTCTGCGCATGGCCTATTACATAACAGCTCCTCATAAGGGCCACCCCGTCCCTGCTTTCACAGAGACGGAAGCTAGGATTCTAGAAGACACAACTGCAGCTCAGTGGAACACAACTGTTCTTACGGAGGTCTTGTACAAAGTCCAGCTCCTCCTGGCCAAGTGCTCAGTATCCCCAGCTGGAAAATTAGCTTTCATTGTATCCCATAATGCAACTGCCATCACACGCTGTGGTTACAGTAACATGGTTCAGAAACAGTGCTTCAGGGATTTCTAATTCAAAAGCTGGACAAAACTAAACAAATAATTCCCACTCACCAATTTCCCAACAATTAGAAATGCTTCCTTTGAATGATGACATCACTTCCTCTTTCACTATTTGCTCACATATTCAAACACATTCTTCTTTTGAGAAGTACGCGATACAGAACTTTTAACACAATATATCAGTTACGAATGAAATGTCGACATATGCTACCATGAATTAATTCTGACATAGTTATTTGGTCATTGAGACATGGAGACTACTTAAAAGAGGGCAGGGCTGTGAAAAATCATTTAGCAAATTCTCTGGCTGGCCTGCAAAAGCTAACCGCTATCAAAACTAAATATCAGAGCTTATGAACTGAAAATCTACAAAGGGCAGTGGTCCATGGTTCCTACATGCCTGGATGACACATACTTCTTGTTAAGCAACATTTTCCACAAAGCAGGGAGCCAAGATTCCTCCCAAGGTACTTACAGTCCCAGGGCGAGGATAAGGAATTCTGCCCTGGTACGAAATGAGCTGATGGTTGGGTCCTTCCTTGTGGGCAAATGGTCCATTAAACACAGTCTGAATGTCAGAGAAATGATACACGCACACTGCTGAGCCTTTGAAAACGGAGCTAGAAAATAATAAGGAAAAAGATTAGAAGTTCATTTTCTCCCATTTTTAAATACAATTTTTAAGCAATGGATGATAAATATAATAATTATATACTGCATGCTTTGTAGAAAAAAAAATGAAAGGATTTAGAATATATTTACCCATGAAAAACAATAAAGGTTTGAGGATAGAGAAATGTTTACACTTATTGAAAATTGCACAATGCATGCATGCAATTAGATTGCATGGCTCACCACAGAAATGAAAGATCTGTCAGCTAAAGTTTTTAAGTTTGATACATCACTCATCAAAATGATGTCATGGAAAGACATCAAAAAAGCCGAATGCTAGGCTATGGAATTGTGTATGAAAGTTGAAAATGTCTGATTTGAAATTAGACATTAAGACAAGATATTTAATCCATCCATGAATGCAACAGGCGACGATGAATGTTACAGAAGATTCCTTCCCATGTTTCCCAAAAGTGTGTCAATTCAAGGAACTTCCCATCTAGCTAGCTTACTTTAACAAAAGTTAAAGAGTCATACATTTTGAAATATATGCACTTGAATTCCAAACGACTACCAATGCAGCCTTTGATAATGCTATCCAAAATAATGAAACCTGTTCATAAGAAAACATCATAGCTTTTTTGTATTAATATACACTTCGATGAATTTGGACATGCGCACAAGAAGATATTTCAAAAGTAATGGAAACATAAGCTTCAAAGATAAGTTTACTGTGGTACAAATCTCCTGGGATGCAGGCACAGTTTCCCTAGATCATTCGTTTTCCATGAACTTTTGGAGGGTCCTGCACGTGAACCACACTGCCGTCTACCATTACAACCAGGGTAAGCAATTCCATCACCTCCAAAAACAATTCCTACTTAAACATGTTCCTGTGCTCAGATTCTATCCTCATTGCAATTGGTCATATACACTGTTAAGATTTTAAAGTCCTTTAAGAATAACAGCACAGAATCATTACCAAGACTAGCTTAAGTAACTGTTCAGAAAGTACCATTTCAACTCAAATATAGCTTCTTAACTTGGTCAAAGAAACTGTAACATCTACACCCCAAATACTCTGTGAGATTAAAGTCAGACAGATAATTATTGCATGCCAAACACTCTTACTCAATAAAGTTCACACAATATAAAAGCTCAAAAATTACCTAGATGTCGTAAAAATGCCATATACCAGTGTTGTTCTTGGATTATCAGTTTCCAGGAGAAATACATCCTCTACAAATGAGAAAAAAATCTCAGTATTTCAAGTGTCCAAACATCAGCAATATTCTTAAAATAGTAACAAATAATTCTATTCTCATCCATTCTGATCTCAAAATCAGAATGTTAGATCATCTAGCAGGCATGAAATAGGGAATTCACTTACAAAAATAGTGTTCCTTATAAAGAAATCAAGTAATGTCTTTCAATACATGTAACACATTCTCTCACTACAAAACATGGTGATGTTTAAAAACACGTTTGAAATAATTACCTAAATGTCTCTGCAGTATATTCAGGGTTATGAATAGACTAAAAAAAAAATGCTTGGGGAAAGTTATAGACAGAATCTAGACAATGAAAGCAAGTTGGCACGTTACTGATGCTGAAATATCCATGGAAAAGACATTTTCCCCCCTGAGAGTTTTCAAGTGCATAAATACGTTTCCGTGTCACTTCTCCATACCTAGCTCATCGAAGTGAGTTTCCGGGCCATCTTCATCTGTGACGGAGCACACCAGCCTTGCTTTTAAAAAGGTGGTCCACTTGTTGACCAGGCTGCGCAGCCCGCCCGTGTCGTTCTGAAACCATTAGGCACACATCCTTAAGATTTTCTAAACACATACTGGGGTGCATTAAAAGCTCAGCATCGACTTACTTTAATTGGGGATTGACAATCATCTAAAGAAAGCAAACGCTAACCACATCTTCACATGAACAGCTCAAGTAGAATATTTAAGATATATAATATTTTATAAAATGATTACCATCACCCTATTATTGTCATGTCTGACATTATTGAATGCCCTCTTGCTCTCATTTTAACAATTCACAAGGAACATATTCACAGAATGCTAGGGGGGGGATAAAACATTGAACTTGTCTTATCTTGATTATTCACCATCGTCAAGAAGAACAAAATGACTATACATCATGAGGTTATCTGTACCTACTATGGTGAGTGACTAGAGACTAAGGCCCAGTAATTTTTATTTTCACTCCTTCATCCCTCTGAAATATCATTCAACCCTCAGTACTTCTGGTGGTTATTATGCATAATCTTGTGGTCACAGCAAATGGAATGGCGTGAAGAACATCCCTGCACAATCTTTATGGATGGCAGCTCTCCCTTCTGTGTCAAGAAAATTCTACCCTTCTGCTGACTTGGCTATGAAATGATTGAAAAGGAGGTGAGTCTGTGATCAGTGGAATATCATAGTCAAAGATAATGTATAAACTAGTTTAAGCACAAAGCACTTTTACAAAAATATCTTTGCAAATCCAAAAGTCAACTGAAGACCATAAAATTCCTATATGCAAGGACACCGCCAATTTCTATGAGTTGCTATGTATATTAACCATGTGTTTGCACAAATCTACATTGAGTTGTTCTTAATAACAGATACTGTAGTTACCAAGACACTTCTTCATTCTCACAATTATAAACAGTCCCTCCACAAACTACCTTTTACCCAGTTTACTTGTATTTCACTCACAAGATTTGCCACTAACAGGGCTTTAAATTGAGATGCAAAATTAGCTCAAATTCCTTGTCTGTTTAAAACTACGCAATGTTTCATTAAGATATACAATGAAATGTAGTGTCTTCATACAAGTGACAAGAATACATTTTTCTCCACGTTCCATATCTTTGTGGTTCTCAGTAGCAAAAGCAAGAAGATACACCCTGCATCTTCATATGGTGCTGATGCATTGGGCTTCTCTCAAAGCAGAACAGAGGTTCTTACTCACAGGACATATTCTGGCAATCATGGAATGAATCTGCTTGGTACTCCGGTTGTTGTCCGTCAGTTTCTCCTTGAAGAAGAAGTACACCTTCGCATCATTGGGATCGGTGCCGTCAGGGATGACATGAGCATCCACAAACATGGGCTCTGCAATAAAGCAGGAAGGCGATCTGTCCTCATGATGAAGATCCAACCACTGTGTAAGCAAACCACAGATACACGCCTTCCTCAACTCTGATAGGGAGGCACGAGTCAATGCTTACACACGATACTTGTAGGCGCAAAACTAGCAGGCACTCCACCCGGCCACCTTTGGAGGGTCAATTCCCTCGATACAGAGCTACGAGATCACAAACGATGCCTCTCCATCTGCAGAATATTCTGGAAGCACGGTAAATTTAAAAAGTACGTGCCCACTGATGAGCTCTGAAAACAAACTGGAAAAGCGTTTCTACTAGCTATTTCCCATGAAATCCCACAACTGTTTTATTCAAAAAACAAAGTTTGTTTTTCGACCTGTGGTTTTTAATCTACTGCACAGAAATTCCCCGAGGCAGGATGAAGCGCTGGGAGTCTGAGATCTGAAAAACACATTTCTTCAAATACAGCGAATGAAATGAAGAGGAACAGTTGCAAGGAAAATATGCAGCCGTTTGAAGACAGACGGGGTTTCCTTATTGCCAGAGCAAAATAATTTCGAGAATACTCTATTTCCAGATGTACTGGAAGAACATCATCTAGGGCAGGAATGGGACAATCGATGCTTTCTTATGCTGGCCTATCAAGAACGAGACGCTGAACTGCAGCAACTCATGCTCCCCTGTGCAATGCTGAACTGTCAAGTTCAGGGTCAGAGACAGATGTGCCCTAAGCTGAGGCGACGAGGCTCTGGGCCTGTTTTCTGTCCCCCATGACAACAGTGACTAATTGGACTCGTATCGTAAATCCTGTAATTTCTATTAAAAATTAGCCAAAGCTGGAAAATACATGGCAGCTTTAACATTCTAGAATCTATATAGATAGAACACATAGGAAAGATTCCTGCATATAATCTGTTCATCACATCTATGTGAGATTACTTTAGGATAATTTCTAGATTTTACGTGGCTAAAAAACATAACCACGTTCAAATAAATTTAAAAAAATCAATCTTAATATGTTATAATTGGGGAAGTTGCTTGGGTCCTGGAGTTTCTAAAAAAAAAAATATATTGTTACACATTTATTTGTACTTGTGTAAAAGTTGTGTAATAATTCACCAAGTGAAGAATTGGCATTTGGGATAAGCTTTTAGCCTAGAAGGGAAAGATGCTAATTAGGCACCCAGGTATCACACAAGAGCATCTGCCACCTCAGACTTTAGCGCTCACTTAATGAAAATGCTAGGATGCAATAGTGATGGCCCAGGCAGCTGCATTCCTGCCAGCCATGTGGGAGACCCAGACCCATTTCCTGGCTTCCAGCTTCAGCACTGGCTGCTGCGGACATTTGGTGATGAGCAAATGAGAGCTCTCTCTCCTTTCTAACAAATAGCTTTAAGAATTAGAATACACAATATGTGGCAACTCATTCATTGATATTAGATATTTTGAAATCATAGCGTACCGAGTTATCGTTGCTCATGTCATGGCCAGATATGAAGTTAAAGAGAATGCATGAAATGTTTTCTTACCACTGAGCCACTTAGAATTGTGCTGGTCGGTTCTGACTGCATTTCTCTTGGTTAAACTTCGAAAAATGGCCGCATCCGTCCCCATGAAATCTATGTACATCCCAGAGAAAAGTTCTTCATCTGTGAGACAGGAAACAGCAACCGAAATGTTCGTGTTTTTAAAGGGATTTTTGAAATTCAGGAAGAGTGAATTCAATATAAGGTCATGATACATATTACAGTGCATTTGTATTTTGTTCATCAGTTTTCATGACTGCCGAGCCAAATATTGGAAAACTTTTGCTCCGGTCTCATTATTATCTGTATGGTTACTCAAACAAAAACACACAGGTACTTTGAAATGTTGGTGGAAAATGCAGTTAAACCATACACTTGTTTTGTTGAAAAATGTCTGAGTTTCATGCAGAATAAGAGGCCTTCCAAAAGAACATGAAAATATACCTTATGAAAAGCTATATGCATTTCAAATCATGCTTGCAAATTATACCAAGATTCTTACTTCATTTTCCCACAAACATTCTTAAGTATCAATTTACACAGGAGTATAGTTTGAAGTAGTAAGTCTTTCAGCATTTTTTTTAAAGATTTACTTATTTATTCGAATGAGAGAATGACAGAGGGAGATACACAGACAGAAAGGGAAAGATCTTCAATCTGTTGGTTGACTGTCCAAATGGACACAAGGCTGGTGTTGGGTGAGACCAAGGCAGACGCTGGAAACTTCATCCCAGTCTCCCATGTAGGGGCAGAGGTCCAACATTTGGGCCATGTTCAACTGCTTTCCCAGGAGAGAAGCATTAGCAGGTAACTAGAATGGACATGGACTTGTACCAGCACTCGAAAGGGAAGCTGTGATCGCAGGCAGAGGGTTAACCCGTGGTGCCACAATGCCACCCAGTCTTTCAGTGATGAATGGCATTTTGGCAACTGTAATGTGGTCTCCACAACATGAAACAATAATAATAAAAATTACTGTGTTCAGTCCATTTGTTAACTCGACTGAGTTTTAAAATGAGTTTTTATCTGTATGTTTCATTATCTTAAAGCGTGATTTTAGAAGAATCTTACAAGTTGCCACCCAAAGCACATGTTTAATCATTTGGGAAGAGTTTTATTTGAGAAGGATATTTTCATCAGAATTTCTTGACAGGATCTTAGGCAAAGTTAAGATCATGCCTTTTCACTTTAATTCAACCTCGTGAGGCCAGTTTCATTTTCAATTATTAGAAATGCCCCACGATTTTTATGACAGTTTCTTTAAAAAGTAGCAACTGTTTTCCTTGGTCTCCTACAATAATGACTAAGTTTAGAAAAGAATGCAAAATTGCTCAATGAGTTAGACGGCATGAGTACATTTTGAAACTCAGAATTCTTTTCATTCCCAGGGTTTTTCACATTTGATAACTCTAAGTATTTTAAAGTACTATGACATGGTAAAATGAGTGATCAAGAAATTATTGGACAAGCGGTTAGAGAAATAATCCACTGAAGAAACAAAATAAAACCGCAGCCAATAATAAATGTCATAAGTTTGCAAAGTTTCGAAGTTTTCGTGTTAACAAAATTGCCCTAAGACTTTGATATGCAAATTGCAAATGTTAAGCAAAATATCAAAACTCAGCATAGGATTAGAGCAGCAATTCGAATCAAAGGTCCTTGAAAGAAAATCAAGAAAGTCAATTTTTAACCCCTATTTTGTAAACAAGTCTAATTCTCTAAGGCCACAAATATTAACAGCAATGCGACAGTTCAGTTAGAAAATGTATCTTGTTCTAACCCCTTGTATTTTACACAACATCCCAAAAAATTACATTCTAGTATGGTTATGTTAAGAGATATTTGAAGGTCATATCCATAGCATTTAATCAAAATGAATGGAAATAGTGGCTTTGCAAAACACTGCTTTATTCAAAACATTCAGAAACATCTCTGAACAGACTGTATCCGACCAAACGATAGAGCTTGTGTTTTCAATTTTACATGAATCTTTTTCCCTGATGGTGGTCCTCTGGCTCTATGATGCCCCGTCCGGATGCTCTTACGTACAATGACGCGCCACATAACCCCTCACCTCGGACGTGGTCAGCACCAAGGGAACCTACCTTGACTCAGTTTTCAGATCCAAGAAAGATAAGTCACCTACATGAACGAATTACCTACTGGCCACACATAGAGAAAGCCAAAGGAGAAACTTCCAGTATACACTGGTCACACTGAAATCCATGCTGCATTTCCCAGAGGGGACCAGTGGCCTCGGATCTATTCTCAAGGGTCTTAACGAACCAAAAGAGAATATTTTTTTTTTCCCCAAGTGAGACCCAGAAAGTCCAACAATGACAACAGTTTAAAAATGAATTATTTTACCACATTATATGAAGCAGTTGGACCTGGTGCTTGACCAGTATTTTACAAAACATAAGAGAATTCCAAAAAATTAGTTATCATTGCTTTGTTTCAGCACGGTCACCTGTGGAAGCTTCACACAAGTAGTCGGCAAACACATAAAGTTGAAACGTACAAATGATCGATTACAAAAGAGGCACAGGGGGTATAACAGACTGACTAATAGTTACCCAGAACACTTACAACTACTTTATAGAATAGATATCTCACTGCATAGGCTAGATATACATATAAACGAATTAATATATGCCGTATACCGATATGCATGCTTTTTCAAATGCTCGACATATTCCACGAACGGGAGAACTGGACACATACGTCCTCTAGTTCAAAATTCTTCAAAATGAGACATTGAGTTTCTTAGTCTGTAGCTCTCCACATTCCTCCAATGACTGAGCCATGCGGTGTCAGCCCTGCAGTCGCCCACCACGGTCCCAGCGTGCTGTGTTAACTTGTCTGCGTTCCCCGCCAGCCTTGTACCTCCCATCCCTGCATACTCACTGATCATCACAGACACGGTGTTCACACTGGGGTTGAAGGAGCAGCGTCCTTTCCCGGATTCGCACTTGGAATCGATCACAAAAACTTGATCCTGTGTTATAGACAGAATGCAAACCAGGATCAACCAGGACCAATGGAAGCAATTCCTTAGTGAAATAGGAGTATGCATCGAAAACAGCACGTGTCTGGTTGCCCAGCCTTTCTGCATATACTTTATTAGGGCACGCATCCCATTCAAAAGAATTTTCTGGAAACTACGAGCTAACTTCAGCAGGCCTAGCTCTCACCTTACAGGTGACCAAGAGAAAGAGCTCTCTCCAAATCAACATTGACTAAAATCGCTCCAAATCAACCATAATTATAAACATGAACTAGAGGGGTTGGCTACTGTCCACAGAAGAACCATATCTGAGAGGATTATATTTCCAAAATAACTAGGACATTCTAAAAATAAATCAGTGTAACTCTTTTGTCGTATAAAGTATTACACAGGATTCAACAAGAAATGTCATAACTTAGATTAAAACGTTTCATTTCCCCATCCACTTCACATAAATTCAGAGTATGCTAGATGATGTCTCATTCTTCGAGAAGAATCAAACAGAAATGGGAAAGCAGATAGCAGAGTGTGATGGAACTGGGTTTAATGTGAAATATGGTGATCAGCGTTTTCTTAGCAAGAGGGGTTGTCTGCAGGTGTAAAATATTTAAGTTTTCCTTATTCAAAATCACTAAAAGCTATTTCTATATTTAAAAGAGAATGATGGTCCCCTTTGTAGGTTGCATTCAGTGAGAAAAGTCCTAAATTATTAACACATTATGAGTTTTTTTCAGTGTGGAAATGCAGAATCAAAACTACCTGAAGGGACAAAGTCATCTTAAGATTTGTTGTACTTGGGGATGGAATGTTTCAAAACACACGGGGCATTCTGTAGGTGTGTGAATTTGCTATTCTAATAGTCCAGGAGTTACGGGATAATGCAACATGATGAGCCAGCACCTCGTTGCTCATGACAACAGCCAAGACGAAAGAGATTCTCTCATGAAAATCAACAGAGCCTGTCCTTGTCAAGAAATTGGTTCTAGTTCAGGAAGATGGAGAAAAGAAAGATGATTCTGGAGATTTGGCTCCCTGAAAAAAATGCAGCTAGCTCAGTCTTGTTAAACAAGTCCTGAGGTTGACACATCGCAGGACAGCTATGAGCCCTTAAGGAATGACGGGGCTTAAAGGCAAGGGCAGTGCTGTAGCCTGAGAAATTTCTACAAATGATCTGTTATTCTCTTCTTGATTGCCAACTCTTTCAAACCCTGGTATGGGCCTTTAGCCTGGCAAATAAGACACCAGTCAGAATGCCAACTCCACATACTAGCATGATGAGGTCTGGATCCTGGCTGTGTGCCGGATTCCAGCTTCCGGGAGACAGCAGGAGATATTCAGCCATTAGCATCCCTGCCACCTGCCCTCTGTGCGGATGTCTGCCTCCCAGCTTCAACCTGATCCAGCCCTGGTGAATGGGAAGCATTTGGGGAGTGGTCTAGCAGACTGTCTCTTTTCCTCTCCCTCTGTGTGTGTATGCGTGTGTGTGTCTGTCTTACAAACAGACAAGTAGTTAAATAAATACAGGTATAAATAATTTCAACAGTCTTAACGCTTTGCCACTACTTTGTCTTATCTCCTGATATTCTCACCTTATTTATTGCCAGCTATATTGCAGAAAAATAAAACCCTTAAATGACAGGTCTTCAACTCCTAACAAATATATAATTAGCATATATACATATGTATAGATGCAAATACACGCGCTCACCTGTAAGAAGGGCTACAGCTGTACTCTGAGGACAATTATTCAACCTTTCGGGTTTTTTTTGTTTTGTTTTGTTTTGTTTTTTAAAGATTTATTTTTATTATTTTTTTTTATTGTTGCTTACATTGTATTATGTAGTACAGTTTTATTTTGATCTTTTTCTTTCTTTTTAACTACATTTCCTTTATACCATCAATTGATCCTTTCTGCTTCCACATATCACTACCACTGCCATATTTCTCAGACATTCATAAATATTCATCACTACTTGTGACTTCTCATTCTATTTTCAATTTATTTCCATTGGGCATTCAACCTCAGCTGTTCTCCTGCAACACTTTTTGATAAGATCGTTCTGGAAAATCATGGTGCACAATTCAGTGCTTATTTTTTAGAATTCATCCTATTTAGAATCTCAATAGCATTCAGAAATTGGCAACCATGGCAGTCTTTCCAAAATGACTGTTTTTATCCTCAGAAATAAACAACAACTTTTTTTTCCCCCTCTATCTCCATGTCTGACTCTTTCATGTTTCATTTGCAAGTCTATTTTCCTCCATCTGGTCCCCAGTTTTAGTCACAGCCCTTCTACGCTTATTCAATTCTCTGTCCAAGTAAGCCTTTCGGGTCCTTCTAGTACTTTAATAAGCAGCAGATCATTTTATCTGGGCTGATGTTCAACTATGTACTTGATTGGTCAATGTGTCATACAATGCATCTCTGAATGAAGATTTTTTCACCACCTCACTTCAGGACAACTATAGAAGGCAATAAGCCCAAATTAGCAAACTGTGAACAGTGCTGGGAAATTGGGAGGGAATAAAAAGCATAACAAAATGTTTTAAGATCAAAGAAAGATATCAATAGAGGCACTGGAAAACACAGGACATGGCCAACAGTGCTCAGTGCTATAGAGGGGTCTAAGATAAGAGATACTGATTGAGGGATTCAAGCTGGTTACCAAGGAGACTTAGCCATTACATACGTAGTCTTGGTTAATATGTACGAGTGAAAGTTAGATAAGACAGATCTAACAAACTCAGACAGAGTAAAAATATGGAAGCTGGAAATACAGTTTCCAGAAACGCTCTGTGTTGAAGTAAAAAAAAAGAGAAAGAAAAAGAGTTGGAAAGAGTCATAAAGTCAAGATGACTTCAAAGAAAGAAAACAATTCTATTTCTAATCTGGAATAATTGAAAGCCAAATTTTGGGACGAAGACATCAAGTTCACAAAGTAGGGATGGAAGCTATTGCTCAAAGAACTTCATTGATGAGGAAAATGCACTGCATTTTTCTGAGAGATTAGGAAAACCTGGAGACTGAAACAGATGAGTTCTGTGACTGATACACCTCCAAAAGCAAAAGGGCTACTCTGGGTGCCTGGGGTACTGGAGTTGTCTGTTGTCTGGGGTCTAGACTATTGTGAACAAGCACTACGCAAATGCCTCGGGAACCTTCCAGCTCCATCTTGCAAAATAACAGAACAAAGAGGGTGTGTAATGAATGTGTGCGATGCTTCAAATTGAAGCCAGCTCAAAAAGCAGGCTCTGAGAACCCATGAAGGTCCATGAAGACGGATGGAAGCCAAATGGAAGGTAATGCTCAAGAAATTCAAAGGCATGATAACGGTCATTTGAGCTTAAACTAGTTTTACTTCCACACTACTCGATCTTTGAAAGATGGCATGTCTTAATTATTAACATGTCTTAATTATTAGCACTGTATTAAAGTAGATCTTTATATAACATCAGCTGGTGCAGTACAGGCCTGTAAGCTTGATGATATAATCAAACCCTGGAATTGGGAGTTGACTATGAAAAGCAGACACACAAAGCTTAAAATTCATAATTCTTTTCATATTTAAACTGGCTCTTAAGATGTTCACCTAGTACGTAAGAAACGAGCTAATTAAAATGCTTCACTCTTTGAGAAGATATCTTTTGGAGACCAACACGGTTCCTCTTAGCCAGGTGATTAAAATGTACTCCATGCTGGTTGTCCCAAGGAGATTCTTTTTTTGATAGACTTTCCAATTAAGGATTCAAGTGCATAGTGAGCAATTCATACCTGGGGAAATGATTTTATTTGAAATTTATGCTCTGAAAACTGCTACGCTCTCGTTGGCGCATACAGCGGCCTCACTGCCATCAGGGGAATGTCGGACAGCCTGAAGACATCCGAGGCAATAGTTTATTTAATCAATTGATCACAGGCATGTGGTTCTAATGATTAAGTTCCATGTGGTCATCTGTATTCTTCCAAAAAGTCTAACTTTCTTTGCCTTTAAGCATCTTACTGTAACACAGCTTTTGAAACCCCTTTTGGAAACGCCTCGTTGTGGGGTCAAATGATCATTGCTTGGTTATTTTTCAATGACTTTGCAATCATTAGAAGGTATGCAAGTGTAAATTGCATGTCTGAAATAATTAAAATTTAATCAGGAAGGCACAGAGAAAGAATCACTGTTCACTTGTATTCGTAGTAGAATATATTAATTTTGGTAAAAGAAAATAAACTTTCTGAGGTTTATGAATAGCATTTCATCTGCCCAATTCTACCCCTTTAAGACTGATGGATGTCCCAGAGAAGCAGACTTGTGGGCTTACACTGCACAATGAAAGCAAACAGAGATCATTTGAAATAATCCAGTTTTTAAAATAATCGCATCAAGGAAAACACATTTGACCGGAGGCATGAGAAAAAGCTCTTGGTCGAATGCGTGGTTTCCTTACTCAGCAGTTGTGAATGCGGAAGATAAACAAAGGGTTAAACACCACAGTTGAACTCCAACCAGCTTATATTTGGCTGTGCATTAGCAATCTATTTGTCTCGTCTTTGGCAAACAATATCCCATATCATTTTAATTCACGTGCAAATGAGGCTAATGGTGATGCTAGTCTAAGATAATGATTTGTTCATTATATAAAGTAAGAAACATGATTTATTCATTAAGTAAAGCGCTTTCCAGCATCTTGCTTTGTACAGATTTTACAGCTTTAGGTCTCAAATAGGTTTACTAATATGAAAAATTTTTTAAAAAAATGGCTCTCAATCGATCTACTTAGAATAGATCAGAGAAGTCAAGTTCATACTACGATATTGCCTAAATTGGAAAAAGTGATCAGCGGAGACAAAAACAGGAACCTGGCAGACAGAATGCAAACCTTGAGCAAGCAAGGCCCATGAACAATCTACAGACACTGATGGTGTGTGTACGTCTCTCTCTCAAATGCAGTGTTTGTCACCCTTGCATCAAAACTCAGAGTGCGAACGTGTTACACTCACCTCAGACCTCCTCCCCCTGTTTAAATACGTGCAGACGGGGCTGAAGGCGCCGCTCCCACAGACGTACAGGTGCGTGCGATTGAAAGTCTGAATGACACGTACAAAGTTCCCACAACCGTGCTGAAAGAAGCCAGGAGGAAAAAAGGGTCAGTTCACTATGTCGCGCGGTGAGATTGCATTTGCTAAGCTAACAGTGACGTGGCATCAAGTCTAGAAGATTCCGTGTCTCGGAGCATCTCCGCGTGTGCTCCCAAAAAGAAACCTTTGGTACTTGGGGAGGATACACCCAACCAAACCTGCATCTTTGGTTGGGTGCAAATGAAGAAAATGATAATTCAGGAAGAGTGATGGAGTGTTAAAAAGATGGGTCACTCAGCAGGTGTTTATTAGGTCACCTTATATGTCACCTTATAGTTAGATCTTTGGGGCCCTCTCAGTAAACGAAGTTTACAAACATTTTTGTTTCCACAGAGCTCAGAGAATCAACGTTTTTCTGGGGCCCGAGTTCTGCTATTTCCGCTCAAACATTTATCAAATGAATACATCTATCAAATGAATACATGCCAATTTAAAACCAGAATCATTTAATGATACTTTGATACATATTTTTTTGTGTGTGCGCTTTTTAAAATTGTTTCTATTGGGAGATATATTTGGGGGGGGTGGAATGCTAAATGAATCACGTGGCTCATGGAATGATTTATTCCAGCGGAAAGGGTGGCTACCCCAGGTAGCAAATCAAATGCTCTCTCCTAATCAAATTTCAATATTTTACTTACTTGCGAGGCAAGGCTATCATTGATTTGCTCATTGAAATACAAAATGATTAGTGTAATGCTAAACTGACCGTGACCTGGCAGGAACACAGGACAACCTTGTAACCAAATCAATCATTGAGTGCTCTGCGTGTCAGGTTCACAGTCCCTTCCTGGTTACAAATGAATCAAGTCCATCCCTTATATTCCCTTCCCAAGGTCGCTTTTCTCTCAAGGAATATTTATACAGTAACGTCATACTTAAGAGACAGAACATACAGTTTTATGAAAGACCGTGCAGAAATCTATTTAAAAATCAACAGTAGCTGATTTTTCCTGGTAATCAAATGACGGTTGTGACTAATTTCCTACCCCAGGTAGTTCTTCCCCGATTTTTCATAGTGCAAACACATTGTTTTCTACCACTGGGATAATAGAAGCAAAACAAACATGGCTAGAAGTTGTAACTTTCCCTAAAAGTCCGTGTCATTTCAGGATTTCCATCCTTTTCTGTTTCCATTCGTTATGTACCTGCCAACACACATCAGCTTCATCGACCACAAGAGAATTCCCACAGATGTTCCTATACGAGATTTGTGTTCTCAAATAAGCAATCACTGACGCTGTTGTCGCAGAAATGAATCCTTACGTAGCAGACTAAACGCTTTATTCTTGTGTGAAGACATTAAGGATTTTGTCTCAAATACACACGGTGGCATTGTGCCTTGACACCTGTTTACAGAGATACTTGGGAACATAGGAACAGATGAGAGGCGTGAGTGAAGGCTGCTGTGTCTATGTGAAGGCAATCTGTCAGGTGTAAAGCTCGTGTTTATTTTTTCACACTTTAGTTCTCCTGGGCATGTGTATAAAATATTTTTTTTCAGAGGCCACTGACCCATCCCAATTGTACTAATAACAGATTAGGTCTGTCTCATCCTTAAAGACCATTGACTGTCCTGAACTACTGACCTTTGTAAGCCAAAGGAATGAATAACACCTTTTCTTTATCCCCAATACACTTTCAACTCCCTACATATCTCTGACCATCAACTTACTATGGCTAATATGTATCGGGTTTATTATGTGCCAGACAACAAAATAGAAATGTATGTATTTTATCTCCAAGGAGGTTTGGATGCCAACTGATGGATGGCATTTAACTGAACAACTTGAAACCGTTACTTCGACATTTTACGTGCATACACTGAATTTTTCAAAGCTTAGCTTCTGTTGAGTAAAATACAGCTTAGATTCAAGTCCCCACAGGTAGAAGCTAAAAACAGATTGACAGATATGCGTTTGTCTAATGTTCAATCTTGCACTGTCAGTGACGTTACAACCTGTCATTTGGTGAAGAGTTCATGGTTGGTACTATAAAAATTATTCATATTTACATAACTATAGTTCTTAATGGTTATTAATATTTACAGCAATGTCCTAGTTTAACATGGGGCATTCCATTTAGTGATTCAAAAAAAAAAAAAAATGAATCCCAGAGCTGTGGATTTAATAAATAATTCACTGGGTCTTGAAGCATGGCCACTTTCCACCACGTAACTTTTCTAGAAGAATCTCACTGGCAATTAACAGATCCCCATAATGTTTCACACTTAACTCCCTTTCCCATACCTACTCTCACACAAGAATTTATCCAGCTGAGTTAATTATTAGAAATCATTATCTCGGTCCTTCCCATTTCCGTTGTGTTATTCTCTGTTTCTGTCCACATTACATTTGATCTATGCCATAACAATTCGGTCAATGCCACATGGCAAATATTTACTCAAGTCATTCTAGGCAAAGCACTAAAGGGTGCTGGCAACATTGGACCAAACGTATTCAACCGCTGCTTTCCGAGACGGGAAAGGCCACGAGGGCATGCCACGTTGGAGGCTGTACAGACCCGTGTTTGCTCAGCGTGCTATGGCAGAAAAGAGAAGACAGCCAGTGATGCTGACCTGAATAGAAAGGCTTGAGGGAAGGTCACTGGAGCTGAGTCTTGCAGAATTAGTTAGAGATTTGGACATTCAGAAGCACAATGGAAAAAAAAAACCATTCCAATAGAAATTAGAGTATGAGCAAATTGCAAAAGCATAGGACTACAAGCTTCCCTATGGGGAACACTGCCTATAGGAGCTGGAAGATGATGATTGTCTGCCCAACGGCAATGGTCATCTGTGTTAGGTGTGTGGTCTACCCGGGATTGAAAAGCAGCTGGCCTCTAACAAAGCCCCACAACTGTCCCTGAGAAACCGTGGGAGGCATACAGGGAGTTCGTTCTGCAGAGAGCTTAGAGCTGGTCCTGACAACAGCAGAAATGCTTAGAAGGCTTGGGGAAAGAAAGGAAACTTGGGAACTTCAGGGCAAATGAACAACCGTGGTGTTTCCTGTTCGTGATACATTCCCCTTCAGCAATCGTAATAAAACTAAAGCTGCGCGTGTTACGCGAAATGTAAGACCATTTGATTTTACGTGTACATGGGGAGCCGAAATCCTGCACAAACAGACCTTCAATTGTGGAGGGCCACGGACTTCTCGGTGATATGGTGTTGGCTCTTACGGCCTGTTCTAAGCTCTCTACAGATAGTATCATGTTAATCGTCTTAACCACCCATCAACGGAGCTCCTGGGAATGGGTACACTTCACAGTTAAGGGAACGCAGACACAGGACAGGCTGGGTTTCCAAAGGTAAAGAACGAATTAGAGCATCACTGAACTTGCACAGAGATAACTATGGTGTCGTGAGCTTTGGAGGGCGCTGGATGAAGTGACTCCCGAGGGCTCTCCCACACAGGGAAGTACCTCGCCCCGGTCCTAGCTACTCTGAGCTTCTGAGCTTGCTTGCTTCTCATGACTGCCAAGGAAAGGATGACGGTCCAGGTACTCAGGTCCTCCACCCACAGGGAGGACCTGGTTTCTACTTACTGGCTTTGACCTTGCCTCATTGTGCCTGCTATGGGCACTGGGGGATGAACCAGCAATGGAAGATCTCTCGCTCTTTTTCTGTCTATTCCCTCTCTCTGTCTATCCCCTCCTCTGTGTATTTTTCCCTGTAATTCTGCATCCAAACAACAAATATCACAAATATTTACATACAAATAATATATATGTACATATGTCCCAGAGCAAAATAAGTTTATAAAAATATTAATTCTTGGGCCCGGCGTGGTGGCGCAAGTGGTTAAGGTCCTCGCCTTGAACGCCCGGGATCCCATATGGGCACTGGTTCTATCCCGGCTGCCCCTCACTTCCCTTCCAGCTCCCTGCCTGTGGCCCGGGAAAGCAGTCGAGGACGGCCCAAAGCTTTGGGACCCTGCACCCACGTGCGAGACCCGGAAGAGGCTCCTGGCTTCGGACCGTTGCGCTCACTTGGGGAGTGAATCATCAGACGGAAGATCTTCCTCTCTGTCTCTCCTCTCTGTATATCTGCCTTTCCAATAAAAAATAATAAAAATAAATCTTTAAAAAATTAATTTTTCATGGTCATGGGCATACCAAGCAATAAAAAAAAAAAAAAGAACCAGCTTTCTTTTTCTACATTTCTGGTCTGGAAAACAAATCAAGGTATTTGATGAAGTTATTCTAAGAGGAAAATATATTTTTCAGTAAGTAGCTTCATATTGCATGGCCATAGAATTAGGTAATGTTCTGTGATTAATAAATCAAGGCTGATGATGTGTACATGCAATTCATTAAGCCTAAACAGACTTGATCCTGACTAATGTTTCAATAATTTCCTGTGCTAATACATTCATTAAACTGAATATCATTAGCTGTTTTTTTGACAGCAAGTGCTGTTGCTCAAATTCAATTTATTTAGAGAATTAATCAAAACAATATCATTTTTATATAAATTGTGTACATACAACTTAGTTCATGAGGGCAATGGCAATGGAGCCCCTGGATTTAGCCTGGTCTAATCCACTATTCAAACTTTGACAGTTGAACCAGGGCACGGATCTTCTCTCTCGCTTTCAAATAAACAAGTACATTTTTTTATTAAAAAAAAAATTTTTTTAAATGCAAACAGAGCCCTTCTCTCGTTACTTTTCTGCATATAGCCCTTAATCACAGAGAAGAATTTAAAGATGTCCACCAATGATATACAGGAAGACAAATGATTGAAGATTTTATGTCATTATTTGATATTACCAGACAGCAAGCAAAAAAGGATTTTATTTCACCAAAGGTGGGGGGAAAAAAAAGAACCAGATAGCTTAGCTAAGATTCCTCAGACAGTTAATAAAATTTGTGAAAATAAAAGTTACAAGGGAAAGTCCTCTATCCATTCTCCCTGGGGCGGCTTCTTTGAACGGGAGATGCGGATGTGTCTTGAACAAAGGCCCATCAGATGTAGTAAGGCAGTCACCAGGTGTTATGGTGCTGAAAGGCAATGATCCCCCAGGGAACAGCCTTCATTAGGCAATGGATGATCTAGTGTAATGGACCCACACGGATGCCCCTCACCGAAGAGTAAGATCTCATTCTCCAAATGACACTTCCTTCCAAGCTGGATTTCACAGAAAGTTTTCATCATGAACGCTTTCAACTGTTTCTTCCACATTTTTTTTCTAGATTTTACCCTCTAGATGGTGGTTCAGGAAATCCCTTATACTCGTGCAAGTTGCTCCTTAGAGAACATACTATGAAGCACAAAGCTTAGTTACTCCTGATAAGCTTTCTGGCCGGGAACTTTCCAGTGAGATCCCAGATTCCGGGTTCCCTGGACTCTTTCGTCACCCTCCCTTGAGCCCAACCTGCGGCAACATGACATGTGGAATTATCAAGCAGATTCATCCTGTGACTGGCCCAGCCAGACACATCTCCCTAACACTTCCCTTTCTGGTGCGGCGCTGTCCGCACCCCACTTTGCACCACAGTAAACTCCCTTCCTGACATTTAACATCATGAGCCTGTTTCTGTTAGAATCGCGGGGTTATTTAATAACTTTTTCCAGCCAGCCTCCATATTCCATCTCAGTCCTTCATTAGTATGCATTTCCAGGCTCATTTGATTAAGCTTGACTTTTCCAACAAGATAATCAGGTTGATTGGAGTCAGAACTGTGTCGATGTTGGGGGCAGAGAGGTCTGTAGCAGCCTGCACTACCCCAGATACATAAGAGGTCCTCAATCAGTACTTACTGATAATTGAATTCTGAGTGATTGAATTATGGAAAGATGAATTGAAAGCAAGAGTGAGCAAAGGAATTTCTCGAGCGAGGAGTTTGGAAAAGGCCGGATGGTTAAAAGCCATGATATTTTCTTTATATTGTTTTTCGTGATTTCAGGCACAAAATAGCAAACATTGCAAAAAAGAAATGACATGGAGACTTCAAGATATTCCTTTTGCGACTCAGACATAATATAGATTTCCTCCATATACTTATTTGTGATTTTAAGAAAGACTACACGTTGTCAGCCCGAAGCAGTCATTTGCAGAAACTGACACGGGTTTTGACCTTGACTGTTCGATAAGGAATCCCACTGAAGAAAGAATACAATTTGAACAAGAGCCGCAGCAGAATCAGTATTATTTATGGATACTTTTATCTGCTTTGATGGCTGCTTCTGAGGCTATTTTTTAATAAACAAAGCTGCCATTGCATCACTGTTGATCTTCATCTTTGGAAAGTACTGGCAAACCTGTACCCATTCACACGGAATCTTTCTCTGAAAAAGCCACGTGTCTCCTGGGAACCGCAACAGACTCTCGCATTATCAATATTCCGGCACCCTGCTGCGAATTCTGCAGCGTGCAGCCACTTGGAGCAGGGGCTAATGACTGAAATCCGTCATGAAGTGTGCTTGTGTGGAAATTAAAAAAAAAAAAAAGAAAAGAAAAAGAGAGCCAAATGGGGCATTTTTAACCGGTCAGGAATTCCAAAGCTACAGGCACACGTTGTAAAAGTTTCATTGTCTTCGTATTTGGAACATCTGTCCAGCTGAGGATTTTAAACACGGAACACCCCTCGGTCTCACTCTTGGCTGCACTCAAATTACACGAATTCAAAGAGCAAATATTTAACGTTTTGTGTGTGTGTGTGTGTGTGTGTGTGTGTGTTTTCTTTAGCACTCACTGTGGGATCTTTGCCAGCCATTTTGCACTCTTCAACTTTGATTGCAGATGCTGGCCAGAAAACCTGCCCAGAAAAGAGAAGAAAGCTTTCATTATGTCAGTGTGATAAATGACAGCCCCACGCGCTTCACCTGCTTTCCCCCAGCAGACCTGAGGCGGGCATGCGCCTCAAATGTCTTTCTTGTTTTGCCTTATCAACTCAATACTCGGTTTACTTGTAACGATGGCATATATCTTCAATAGTTTTTCTTCTAACAAAGTATTGAACGCATGGTCATTCATACATTTTCTACGAAAATACAGTTATAAGCATGGGGAGGAGATGTTGAACCCAGGAGTTACGCTGCTGGTTGGGCTGCTCACATCCCACATGGCATGTCTGGTTTCTTATTCTGCGCTCCACCTCCTGACCCCAGCAGACCCCAGCAGACCCCAGGAGACAGCGGGGACTGGTCCATGTGCAAGAACTTGTTTAGGTGCCCAGACTCCAGTTCCCACCCAGCACAGCCTGGCCCTTGCAGACAAAGTCATTTTAAAGAACAGTGGATCGTAGGCCCCTGTTTCTTTTTTGCTCTCTCTTGAGTGAATTAATTAGTTTAAAAGTCGCCGGAGTTTCTAGAATAATTAAATGGGCTCCCAGCACTGCAGCCGCTAAAATCCAAGTCTACATCATTATACCCTCGGAGCAGGTGTGGCCTTAACGATAACTTTTGTTAAGTTGTCATGACGTCAGTGTTGACATGGTAAACGCACAAGACTCCTACTGCAATGATTTCACAGTGAATGTACCTTTACTTGCTCACCGCAATGAGACTCAATTTTATTTTCTGCTTGTGCGAAAGAAAGAGAAATACTCTGAGGGGTTGCTCTTGTTCAAATAAACATGTCTCTGGGGACTGCGCTGCCCCGAAAACTTCCAAGAGTAACATGTTAATGACCGCATGGACCTTCTGTAATCTAGATATTTCCATACCATACTCCACGCCCTTCTTTTTCTCTTTCCAAATACATATGTGTGAACGCCGAAAACATCGACCTGCTTTGCTCCAGTTTTAGGATTATAAATAAATAAATTTTAAAACTATGAATTTAAGCCAAGCAAAAACTTAACTTGAAATATTTCCAGTCTAAGAACTAAGAATTTCCTTCACACTTTACATTAAAGGTAGCTGATATTCTCTATGGTTTTCATGAAATGCGTATCATTTCCCATTGCATTTTAATCTTTACAGAAAGGGGCCGATGGTAAAGCAATGGTAAAGGACAGAGCCAGTCCCCATCCAGGTGCCTCGGGCTCTGATCCATCACCCTGCTGATGGCTTGGGGAAGGCTGTGGGAGATGACCTAGGCTCCTTGCTTCAGCCTGGTCCAGTCCTTATAGTTCTGGGCATCTGGGGAGTGAACCAGCAAATAGAAGATCTCTCTCTCTCTCTGCTTCTCTTTCTTTTTCCCTCTCTCACTCTGTAACTCTGCCATTCAACAAAATCAATCTTGAAAAAAAGAAAGAAAAACACACCTAGAAAGTACCATTGCCCTAAAAATATATATATATATATACAAAAAAATGGATGGACTTACACTCAAAGGATCTTGACTTATATTGTTAATATTCAAGGAAAGAATGTGGTCTTTGCTGCCCACATATATCCGATCTTGGTCTTCGTCCATTAGTAATATCCTGTAGTCTAGTGGGTGGGGGGATAAGCTAAAGTACTCCGCAGTCTTGGTTTCTCGAAGCTCTGAAAAAACAAACAAAAAATACAAAGAAAACACATGAAAATAGAGTAGTCTGGTTCTATGATTCTACTATTTTGATGGTTCTGTATTTTTATGGCAGAAATATTTCTCCAAAAAACTCAAAACAACGAATCAATTTTACAATAGAGTTACAGCCATGGCTGATGGGTCTATACACAAAGTAAGAGAGAAGCGAATTAATAGGTACAGCGTTAAAGCTTATGACAATAAAAAATTATTCAGATCTGTGACAATCTTAAATCTGTTCTATTACTGGTTGACATCAGCTCGAAAGTGGTCAACCAAAAACCACATATGCAACAAGAGGAGGGCAGAAAGAACAAAAGCAATGGTGCTGTTCATCGTTTCTTCCTGACCTCAATGTAGTCATCTGTTTGGGATTATACGGAAGTATCAAGGGCCAGAAGAGGGGTGGGGCTTTGCTCGGGAGGAACAGATGCCAGTTGAGGTGCCCTGCTTCCTTTTTGGAGTCACCGGTTTTGAGTTCAAGCTCCATGCCTGATTCAACTTCTTCACATCTGCGCCCTTGGAGGCAGCAGGTGGCACAGCTGAGCCCCTCCCATCCCATCGGAAGAACCAGAGTCATTCCTGGCTCCTGGCACAGCGAAAGGGAACCAGCAGATCGGAACACTTCTTGCTTTCTCTTGGAGATAGTTGAACAGGCCGATGGCTCATTGAGAACAGACTAGGGAGTCAGATATGTATGGAAGCAGGGCTTGGGGGGCTAACCTTCCTGTTACCGAGCCTTACTGGTTTAGAAAGGTGGCACAGTTAGCAGATGGTGCCACTGACCCAGAATCCGCATCAGTTTCATTTATGAAGAGAGCAGAATTGGGGAAAGAAGGTCATTTAGGGGGGGAAAAAAAGTCATTGGAATTACTCAAGGATTGGCAAAGACACAGATAGCCTTGAGCTTTTGGTAACGTTTTACTAAGCACGCTTTTCACATCCCAGGGTAGTGACTCCTGGCTGTGCGAATTTACCATAAAGCATCAGGAACGAGCATGGGTTGCAGAATCAAGGGTCATTCACCAACTACCTGCAGATAAGTAACTTTCAAGCAGTACCGAGGAGAGTAGCGACAGGTGACTGAATCCAAGGAGCAAGGTCCCACTGCTGCAGCTCTGCCATTTCTACGTCTACAAGTGTTTGGCAAGTGGACCCTGGTGTGCTAATGGGTAAAGTTAAAAAATAGCAGTACCTACATTACTGGGTTGTATGGAGCTATAAGTCAATAATATTAATGAGGCACTTTAAGAGTCCCAAGCTACAGTGCCATTCATTACATGAGTTATGTATGATTAAATCCTGGGGGAATGTGTCGATCTTTAGCCTGCAAAGTAAGAACACATCCTTACAGAAGGGAGATGGAAATAGAGGCATATATTAGCTGATTGATATTTAATAGTAATATGGTTATTTTCATACTAGACTGTATTCCAATTATTGAAGCACGCAAGTATAATAAAAAAAAGTTAAGCCTTGTTAAAGAAAGTAACAGTTCGGAAATGCAAGATCATTTTGGAGTTTGTCAAGGAACAAACACTGTTTTAGATAGCCAAGAAAAGTGTTGACAAACACCTGCCAGCTTCCAAAGAAAATAAAGCTTCAATGGGATAAGCGCCTCAAAGAATCCACACAGAATAATATTATGAAGATAGGGTTGAATAAACGGGACTAGGCAGTTCTCCTAAAAGGTGCCCGCTAAGGAAAGGGAAAATGAAACCACCTTTATTACCTTCCTTACTTGTAGGGAAGACTTCCTTGACAGATAAAACTTACCTATGGAAAGATGAGGGTCGAATACGCAAGATTCGGGTTGACCCCCATGGACAGAGCAATGGGATAAAACTCTCAAGTTCATCCCTTCTTAAGTCAACAAGGATATTTCAAAAATTCACAGAACATAGCGGAGTGTTACGTGCTCCTATGTGCCGTGCTGCTATGCCAGTGTGCCCTGCTGCTATGCCAGCCCGAGCAAAGACGGTCCATGACCGCACCCCTGCACGGATCACTAGCCAACAACATTGGAAGGGATGCCTTGTTGCAGAGTACTGACATGAGTTTCGTGGGTCCTAAACGCTGGCACAAAAACTTTTCTTTCTTCCTCTCTGGATTGTATAGCCTATGAGCATGCAGTACTTATAGCAAAGATAGTTACCAAGAATGGCGCCAGTTAAAAATGGCGAGAAGGTATCTTTGAGAAATAAAAACAAAAACATGAGGCCTCTTAAGTAATCTCCAAGTCACTGATTCACCACAAAACTGCACTATTAGCATTGAAATATGACCAAGAGTACACCCTGAGCCGCAAAAATTTAAAAAAAAAAAAAGCCTCAAGTGAAATTTACTAGCAAGTAACAAACAATGGCAGCTTCTGACGTTCGAAAATGATCAATTTCATGCATCAAGCCAAATGCCATAGGGAGCCATAACCACATTAGCTTAAGACCTTTCTGGTCCACAGATCTTTAGTTTTCCAGCCCATAAAGCATCTTCCAATTTAATTACCTGAAGCTCACTGACAGTTGACAGCTGTGAACCAAGGATGATTTACTTTAAAAGCGTTGTTGTTACGATAGAAGGGTAAGCTATTTTCTTGAAAGGCTATTTAAATGGTTGTTAGTAGCTCACGTGGAAGTTTGGAGCTTGAGAAGTTTTTCATCTTCTCAGCTTGGGAGAAGGGGAAGAGTTCAAAGCCAAGAGAATTTTATCTATAAAAACAATGGCCCAAGAATCCATCACCTGGGGGTTAAAGCAGACACAAGGAGATTCAATAGAAAACAACTGATTTAATGATTCAGTGACAGTGAGAGGGGACCACAATTGGTCGACTTTCATCTACAGCAGTCCCAGAATGGCGCTACCCTATGCTTCTATAAATCTTCCTAATGACGTCATCCTTTTTGCAGCATCAGAGGGACAGCAAGCCGTGTTGCTTCTAAGGACGTGATCAACAGACAGAGAGGAGAACTTGCTGAGAGCATATGCCAATGAATGCATGGGCTCCACAGGGGGCAACAGGAGTCTCCCAAGACACTGAAAAAATCCCCTAGGAAACAGCACTTAAAATACAAACAAGCAAACAACAAAACACTGAGTGCTTCTATGCTAAAATCTACACCGTTGGCGAACCCCCAGGCTGGAAATATACTGTGATGTTTCCTATAGGGATAATTCTAGAGGCAAAATTTCCAGCCCACTCTGCTGGAATAAAATTCATGTATTCCACACACACACACTGCTTTCTGTAGGGACAGCTCTGATGCGCTTTGAGAATATCCCAAACTGGAAGGATATTCAGATGCTGCAAAAATGCAAATCTCTTGGAGGGCAGGAGTTGTGGTGTAGCAAGCTAAGCTGAAGATTTGAGTTCTGGTCTGTAACACAGTGTTTGCTTTAAAGCTTGGCTATTCCGTGCTTAAGATTCAACCTCCTGCTGGAGCATCCAGGAAGAAACAAAGAATGTTTCAGACAGCTGTTTCCCTGCTGTTCCCACACTGTTGAAGTTCCTGGCTCCTGGCCTTCGCCTGGTCCAGTCCTGGCTGTTGTTGACACTGCCATAGTGAATTGGTGTTGGAAACTCGCTCTCCCTCCCCGTCACTTCTCTGGCTGTGTCTCTCTTCCTCCCTCTTCTCTTTCGGTTGTTCTTTCCAGTAGATGACACAATTAAATCCTTTAAAAATATCTAAACCCTAAAAATTTAACTTTCTGTGTCTACTTAAGCAAGGCCAGTATTTTGATCGAACATTTATAGCATAGTTCCATATACATGCATACATTACTTTTGTCAATGATACTCTATCTTTGCCTACATAAGAATTAATATTTATTTTCTGGTAAGCCAATCAGTGATCTTGAAATCCCATTAAGGAACCTCATTCTTATGCTCAGAAATGCAGTTTTGGCGAACAAGATGGAAGAGGGTAGAGCTTTCTTCTATGACCTTTATACACCTGCTTAAATGCACATGGAAAAACTCATCTACCCAGTTCGCCCCTTTGATGTTTTTATAAAATTCAAAGAGATGTAAAGGGTTCCTGGATTGAAAAGCAATCCATAGGAATCTGCTGATTAGAAGCGTACGCGGTAGTTACTCATTAGATACACTTAAAGCTCATGATGCGCTATGAATATGTTTATGCAACACGGAACCATGGAGCCCTTATCATCATAGCAGTCTAGACGCTGTTCAAACAAAAAGGACAAAAGCAGAAAAATTCATTTTGTGCCATGACGATAATGTCACCTCTCGCCTCAGGCTCAGTCAGCCCTCGCATCACAGATGTCAAAGTCAATCCCCAGGGTACCCTTCACAGGTGGTGTAATTGACAGGCTCGTTTCCTCTCTCCGAGTCCCCTCTCAAAGAAGCTTGAGCAAAGTGGTCCCCAACAACCCAGCTTCTCCCAGAAACTCAACTGTGTTTGAAACTGAGCTGAATTTCACCTGTTCCGTTTGGGCAAACAAGCAAAGACAAGTGTGGAAACTCCAACGGACTGAAAATTGGGACTCCTTCATTCCTAGTGTAAACAGGGCAGCAGGCATAGGTTCAAAGATATTTGCTCAAGTTAGAAAAACAACAGCTCCAATAGAAATCCTAGGAGGGTTTACCATTAGGAATAAGTCTTCTTGTTTTATTTAACACCCATTTAAAGTCCCTGCGTTAAGCTGCTTAGAGTATCAAGTCTGGCCCACAAAGAAACTAAAATTCAGTGAGTCGGAGCAGTTGGAACAAAGTCCCACATTGACCCAGGGAGAGACAAGATCTAGCATTCAAAACAAGTTAGGTTCTTAATCCTGGTTCTAACAGGCTACCATGCCTCAATGCTTGTTTATTTCCCTAGCCTAAGAAGTATCAAACGGTGTAAAAATGCCTTGATTTCCCCCTGTTTTCTTGGTCTGTCTGGGAGCAGTGGGGAGCACAATGCAATTAAGGTGAGAACAATCAAGATTTCCCGGATGTGGTTCCAACAAGTATTTG